GGGGGTTTGCAGGGCTAGAGGTGCGGTAGGAGGTACGCCCACCCCTGAAATGTCCTCAGATCTGGGCTAACACTCTACCTGAAGGTAAGGGCCCTACATGCTGCACTGTTTGAACATTTTTTTTCTTTAGAAGGGGTAGGTGAGCTGTGGGGCCTAAATCCTGGACCCTCAGCTTCGACCCTGGTTCCTAGATTCACTCCGTCTGCTGGTGGAGGCTGTCCAGACCCGGGCAGCTCAGAAAATCCAGCCTTCTCCTTCACAGGGGTTGGTCAGTGGTCACTGAGCCATGGATGGGGGGTGGGGTGGATGGGCTCAGCATCTGGTGACATTCCAGTGGGCTCCGCCCAAGGCCCACTTCTGGGTACATTTCCAGAGAAATGGTCCATGGGCAGCCAGTGGTGGCGAATGAGTATTTAACTCACTTGCCCCCTGCCCTTTGGCTTCCTGCCTGTTAAGGGGCCATCTTGGTACCTGGGTCCTCTCGAAAAACCAGGTGGCACCTGCTGCTCCAAGCAGGTAGTCCCAGGAGCCCAAGAGAAAAGAATGCATAGCCAAACACAGCAGCCTGGGCAGTAACCAGTTAATACGGGGGCAAGCAGAGGGCGAATGCAAAATCTGTTTACCAGAGATTCCAGGCACCTACCTGTCAGGGAGCCAAGAGCCCCACCCTCAGCTCAGCAGGGAACTATTTTCACTCCACTGGGCCCAGACTGCCTGACCAAGGGCGCTCCACCCCCTGGCGAGTGGGCCTCCTGCTGAGGGGGGAATGTCCCCCCTCCCCAAAGATTCTGCAACCTGGAACTGCACTCCAGGACTCCTGCTCCCCAGGTAAAAGGGAAGTCCCTCTACGGAGCCACTGCACTCCAGGCCTGCCCCTCCAGGGCCCCAAGCAAGGCCCCTACTCTGGACTCTGAATGCAGGGCTCTGCTGGCCCAGGGAGGCCACTTCTCCAACAGGCACTGGGGCTTGTGTGCGTCCCAGGAAGGCCTGGTGCTGGTGGCCAGGGCAGGTGTGGGTGGGTGCTGCACCGATTTCGAGGCCACTGGTGTGAGGGGTAATCAGCAATGGGTCACCCTCCAGGGGTTGTATCAACTCCTGCTGCCATTGTTTGGACCATAGAACAATGGATCTGCCACGTGCCAGGCTCTGGGCCAGACGCCAGGCACAACAAGATGTGAGACATGTCCCTGCTCTTGAGAAGGGCACAGTCTAATTGGGGAGGCAATAATTTAGAAGGCTGATTAAGATACACTGGGATCAATGATAAATAAACAAATGCAGAACAGGCTGTGGGTCGACAGGGCAGCTCACATGGTTCTTTCTGGGGAAGTTGAGGACAGCTTTGCAGAGGAGGGCCACTGGGGCTGAGGCAGGGCATATTTTTAAAATTTTTGGTCCAAGAAATTTTGGGGGGTGGGAGGGAAATGATGTTGGAAGAAGAGGAACAGAGAGGCGAAGGCCCAGAGCATGCATGGCAAGGCTACTCTGACAATAGTAAAGCAGGATCAGAAGAATGGTGAAGCAGCTTCTATAAATTTGGGTTAGAAACTGTCAGGCCTTTTTAACTGACAGAACTAGGAACAGAGAGGCTGACCACCGAGCATCTGTAAGTGCCAGGCTGTCTGAGGAACATTCTAGACACAGCTTCATGTGGATTTTACAGCAAGATTGGGGGGGGAGGGTCGTACCAGTTTTATGGTAGAGGAAAGGGGCTCAGAGAGATGACGTAACTTGCCCAGGTCACACAGCTGGCAGATGGCAGAGCTGCTCCTGACCCCCCGGCCTTGTCGGTACCCTAGACTGTTTCAGGTCCCAGAAGGGAGTCTTCTAATGAATAAAGGCGGTTTCAGTGGGCCAGCAGGGACTCCAGCACCATATTGGGGAGGGGAGTAGACTGACACCCCTCTACAATGCATCAATCCAGGATCCCTCTGAAGAGTGAGTGGGCAGGACCCATGTGGGACCACTTCTCAAAGTGTTATTTTTTTTTAGTGAAATGGGAGTTTATAAGGCTTATATGCTTATGGGTTATTATAGTGGGTGAAGGGCATTTGGGGGCACAGATATATATATAGTTGGAGTCTTGGAAGGCAATAGCACCTCCCATAGAACCTCCCTTTTAGCCACTCCAGGCCCCCTGTGACCAGCAGCACCCACTGCTTCTGACTCACAGGGGTGAGTGGGGGGTGAGTCTCTCAGCATCTCCACCTCCAGTCTCCCCACCTCTCAGGTAGCACAGGCCCCAGCAGAATAAAGCAGAGGGCACCAGGGATCCTGGGGCCCAGGTCATCTGCCCCAGGGCCTGGCTTTGTTTTGAAGGCAGATCCATTTCCAGAGCGAGGTGGGAAGAAAACAGTTTTCAGAAAGCTGCCCTACATTTGCACTGCTATCTGTCTACCGCACAGGGCTGGCCCAGGGCAGAGCTCAATGGCTACCAGCGGGGCCTCTGTCCAAGTGACTCTCGGTGGGTGGCCAGGCACCCAATACCCCAACCTTCCCCCTGCCTGGGCCTGGAGTGTAGGGGAAGACTTGATTCTTGGGAGAGGTCTCCATAGGGTGAAGGGTTCCTCAAAACTTGAAAGCACATTGAGACGGATCCACAATTCATCAGTGTCTCCCTGAGGTCTCAGACCACGTCCCAGCCCCCCAAGACCATTTCCCCCACCCCTTTCAGGAAGTGACCCCTCCCAGCAAACTGATTTCCCAGGTCTTAGCCTTGTTATTGAAACCACAGCTCTAGGCCGGTGACCTCTCCGTCTCAGTCGGGTCAGACCGGCTGCTCACTCTTTCATGGTGGGCACCCAGCTGCCTGGACCTTACCAGCTCCGCACCCCCTCGCTTGGGTGATGGGAGGTGTCCCTG